AATTATATATTTGAAATAAATTATAATAAATTAAAAAATTAATTAAATAAAATAAGTTTTAGAATTGCTTTCTAAAACTTACTTTTACAGAAACCTCGTTTGGCCAGTAGCTAAGTTTATATGTTGTGTAATCTTCCATCGGTATATCCGATTTAATATATTTTCTAACGGGCGCATAAGATTGTACCGGAAGCAAGCAGGAAGAGTTATAATAGCTCAAGCGATATGTCGTATCATCTGTCAAGATAAATGTTATTAATTAATTAATTAAATAATTTTATGTAATTTTAAATAATTAATTAAATTATATATTTATTTTTTTCTTCTTCTCTTAGGCCTTTGGCTTGTGTTACATCTCTCTCATACGCTTGTGATGCACAGAGTTGCTTATTCAATTACCATAAGCAAACATGGGATCTACAATTTAAATTTACAATTTGCCGGTTTCGAATTTTTCGATAAGTGTTTCTATGTACAAGAACTCTCGAAAATGCCTTTTTCGAGAGAAGACAAAAATCATAAATATTTTGATTCCTATCAAATCCTGGGATCTCTGATATGATAGACCAGTATTTTATCTGCCATGCTATGTTCGCGCTCTGATCTTTATGTATTTTGTTTTTCATAATTAAGATTATAATAAGTAGATATTTTTCTCTAGCAATGAGAAAAAAGTTAAAGTTACAGTAAATAGATATTTATATCTAGCAATGTATGCGCGCGCGCGCGCGCGTGTGTGTGTGTGTGTGTGTGTGTGTGTGGATTACCAGATAAAGCAGCACATGGAGGATATAAATTATTTTCTATCTTGATGACTTCAGGACGTGTCATGGTTTTCCATGAATAATCATGTTTGTGCGTCGTGACATCTTCCATCGGGCCTTTACCCAGCCACTGCTTATCACAGGGTATCATTGGAGGATCTGTTTTTACGCACCAATTGCCAAAATAGCTCGTCTGGAAGAATAATCAGACTCTAGTCAACGTTATTAAAAGTAAAATATTCATCATACTTTATGCGTCGTTTCATCAGACATTGGTGCATCACTGCATGTTAAATTATCTTCAGGACGAATGGGTTCAACAATGGTACCAGGTCCATCCCAATAAGAAAGACGATACGTGGAATTTTTATCCATCGGTATGTTTGATTTCCAATAATACTAAAAAGGAAATTATAATAGAAATACTTTAACAGCAACAAATGAAAAAAAGATATTTTTTTATAATTAACTTTATAATTAATTTCATTGTAATATACGTTAATCAAAAAATTATAAAAATGTTAGAATATTCTTCATCAAATTTTTTTAAATCTGCTTACGCGAATAGGTGCGAAAGATTTTGGTATTTCCGGCTGGATATATTTCTGTAAAAATTTTTTGTTCAATTTAAACTCTTTAATTTAAACAAATCAGTACATGCAACAACAAATAAATAAATATAAAATTAAATACAAGTAAACATTAAAATATATCACTCACGTAACATGTGGATTGCGGTAAACAACAGCAGCAACAGTTGCAACATTCATCATGGCCCAGCTAAAATGTATTTATATTTCAGAAAAAGCAAATATAAATCGAGAAATAAGTAGAACAACAAATACAATTGTTTTTTTAATAATCTTTTTTTTTGAGTATCATCAAAGCTTACCCGAAGTTTATTTTTTGCTTCAATAATCGATTGCTGCGGTGTTGGTTTAGATCTACAGTGATAAATTAGTCAATATTTATTTTAAAGAGACACGTGATGAGATTTGAATATAAAAAAATATGCTTAATATCAAAATCAAATATCAACAAGTTATTGCGATGTCAGCTCACGGTTCAGAGGAACAGATCTCCATGATTCTTGAAACAATTTGTTGATGCCGGTATCTCACTTCGAATATATCACAAAAATATAGAAGGGAAATTTAGTTAAATGTAATTTTTAAACGTTTTGTATAGTAACAAAAAAGTAAAATGATCGAGTTGAGTGATGTTGTTCATTATTACTTCGAGATATTGATATTAAGATTTTTTAATTTATAAAGAACAGATAAATTCGTTTTATTAAAATTAATTTTTTTTTAATTTACTCGCATTTTAGATTTAAACAAAATTAAAATCGTTTTAAAAAATAGAAAACATATGCCAAACACATAAATAAAATGCAA